CTCATGGGAATTCATCCATTGTAGCTGATAAGATTGCACTAAAACTGGTAGGACCTGGTGGATTTGTACTTCCTCTATAATATCACAGCTTTGATTGCTTTTCCACAAAAAACAAAAAAAAAAAAAAAAAAACTTTGCACTGTTCTTAAACAACCTTTATTCAACTTTTTGGTCAGCTACTAAACCCCGTTCGACTATTATCTATGACTCCATATTTTGTAAAAGAAAATTCACCTGCTTATCTGTTACAAGTGCAAGGAGCTAGAAGAGATGGAGCGAAAAAAGGACACGGATTGGAGTAGCAAGGAATGATCTAAGGACTCATAATTTAACAATGATATGGCACTTAACAGAACAGAATGGCAAAATAAGATTCATTTAGCCAAACCCCATATAGTTGGGGCAAGGCTTAGATGATAATTTTCTTAGTTATTACTGTAAAAGGAAAATGAAAATTTTACCAAAGACAAATAGCATGCTTAAGAAAGAAAAATAGGCAAGAAAACCCATAAGTAAAGCATGACAAAACAGTTGTATTTGGATAGTAAGAGATACTTACAGATAATCCCCCTGCCTTGTTATATAGTACAAAGCAATGGCTGTGATGAAGACGCAAACAGAAGTCAGAAAGTTAACTACAATGATGAACTTAAAGAATTCCCTAGAACCACATATGGTTTCAAGCAGCTTCCCAATAAAAAGAAGACCAGTGGTGCCTACGACCACCTGGGAAACAAGTATAGCTTCAAGACCTGTTGTTTTAAGGAAGTGGATGATTGTGAAAGTACAATTGCATCATTTACAACAAAACAAAGGCGTACCCCAAAAACTGATTGCTCAGCATAACCAGCTGTTATGAGGTTCCAAGAAAAAGGTATTGTCCTGCAAATTCAGTTCCACATTGGTGAATATTCTCAGTGAAAAAGTTAAGATTACAGAGGAAAGATGAATACAGGATCAGGGATCGTTGCATCTGAGACCATACCCAAGTTCTTTACCATATTTACAAGATTTAATTTCATTGAATATGAATTTGTGCCTGTGGATGCACTTAAATGCAAATATAAATGCAGATTGTAACTGGAAGAGAATCTTTCTTCATGAACTTTTAATTTATAAAGATCTGAAGACACAATACTTTGTGCATAACATGCACTTTCATAGGAGCTCTGAACAGTTCAGCATAGGAGGGCTACAATTGAACATTCAAACAAATTTCTTGGAAACTGCTTCATTTAGTTCAGTCAAGTAACAAAAGCAAAGTTTTACTTTTGGTAGCTAATCGCTAAAGAAAAACAATGAATCTATATATGCATGTGGTTGTACCAGTCAACATGCATCAGTGCTTTTATTTTCTAAATGATGAACATCCAACCACTATATTGCCAAGTGCTGTAGTTGCTCTTGGAGTTAGGGCATCAGTCTGATATTTTTTGGCTTATCTTTAAATGCTTTTTCAAGAAACATTTATTAGATTCTTGCTCATCTTAACCAGTTGTAGAAGAAGAATCTTGACAAGATGTAGTCAAACAGAATGACGATGCTTATGATTTAGTGCATGAAGCCCATAATGGTCCTCAATCTACAGAGGCTGTGCAAAAGTATTCCAACAAGGAAAACAAACTTTGTAAAGCATCTGACTTTCAACAGCATTGTATTCATTAATGGATGGAATTTCATAGAATGGATGAGACATTGCAAATCTCTGGATTCTTAAACACCTTTTCAAAGCTAATTGAATCATTCCCCTTCATCTTGTGTACCCATGAAATTGGCTGCTTCAGTAATTGTAAATTTAAGATACATACCTCCAACATTGATAGGGTTAACTCCCTAGTGGAACCAAGAAAGATGGCTTGAATACTTAATTAAATAGTCTCGAAAGAGGAAGATCTTAATTTAGCACTGTGTTAAATGTTGAGGGTTTGATCTGTTTTATGATTGGCTGTTTCAGGCTTTATATAATTGAGGGATTGATCTGTTTTATGAATCTCCAGTTGTTTGCTTCTTGGGCTCCTTTTAACTGTAGGGGTGCAATATGCTCTCAAGTTGGTATAAATATTGAAGTGCAATTACAGTGAACATCTGAATGTGGTAATTAAATGACTAAGATGAAACTTGGTTTACTTATTTGGACTTCTGATGTACATTGGTTTACTTATTTGGACTCAATAGGGCATTGAGTTCTATTTGAATATATTATAATTTGTTGATACTAGTCAATTTTTTTTTAAGTACTGGTTTTCATCTGTTTTAGCTTGTTTGAGGTTGGTACATTTTAACATATCCTGTTTTATCTCAAATATTACATTTTAGTGTATCCTGGTTTTGTCTACTTTATTGAGTGGGTTCATGCTAGTAAATGGAGGTTTACTTGAGTTGATTTCCAAGGCCTCATTTTGTTAGACTTTGAGTGTTCATTGTTAAGAAAGTGGTCTTAAACTAAAAGTGAAATGTGCTCAGCTATACTGACACATCTTACCAATTTTTTCTGGCAAACTGAATCAAGTTAAGTACATTTTTTTCTTTATTTTCAATGCATCTGTTCTGCATTTTTAACTAAATTCAAGACATGAAATTATGTGTATGCCTCATGTTTTTTCTTACCCGTAGAGATGATTGATGTCAGATTTGAGTGAACCTGTTTGTGAGAGGGAAGCAAAGTTCTAGAATATAACTTGTTCAAAATAGATTGGAAGAACAGGTAGTTAGGTTGATAATGACATATGATGAGTTATATGCTCTAGAAAATGAATAAATAATGCATTTGAGCATTAAAAACCAGTCTTGGCACTTCAAAATCTAGCATCACTTATCAATGGTCCAAGTGCAAGGTTGAATGACTACTGGTCAACTGGTCATGACAAAATTTGTTGAAATAACATGAATTCATGAAGGAAATGAACCATTTCCCAACAAACCACTATTCTAGAATCCCCTTTTTTTTGATAAATACTATTCTAGAATCCCCTTTTTTTTGATAAATACTATTCTAGAATCCCCTTCACAAGCAGCAAACTAGAGAGCAGATGTTTAGCAAATCTGAGACCCTCAAGCTTAAACTAAAAGCCCAAATCAGAAATCCATCAGCTCTCAAGATACCCCCCCCCCCCATTTCCAACCTTAGCTTCCCCAGAGTTTCTCAGAATTCCATCAAATTGCAAATTGACAACAGTGAGAGGTCTAGAGCATATGAAGGGAGAGGGCTGAAGAATTAAGGGGGAGGACTTTAAGATTTTTACTCAGATCACTGTAGCTGATTCCAGAGAACATTTTAGCTAAAAGCACCCAAGAGTTTAACAAAGAAAGGATATGTCTTTCTCATGTGTTGATGAAAAATGTGTTTTTAACCATAATTATCTTATATACTGTTTATAAATTTACTCTTTTAGACAAAATATAACAAAATTTACAAAAAATAAAAAAACACGAGACTTCTATACATTACTAACCATATAATCGCTTCGGGCCTAAGTTGATTAGGATCAACAATAACTGATCCTAACCCAATTATTAATCGAGACAAAAACATAGAACTGGTCAAGTTAGAGGTCAGAGATGGGAAAAAATTAAACATGCTTTCTGCTCAAAATTCCAGTCAAGTTAGAGATCTTATTATTTATTAATTAGGAATTTAAAGCAAATTTTTTACATTCATATTATAACTCATTTCTAAATTTTCCAATGCTGGCATTTTGAATACAAACATCATTAAATCTTAAATCTTCATAGAATATGAGTCCTTAACGTATACACAAAATTTTTTTTTCTCATAAACTACTAGGTGTGTATGGTGCAGCCAGGTATCATGAATTGGTTCCATCTGCCCTATTTCTTCTACTAAATTTTTGTTCATCTAATTTGGGCTTTTCCAGATCCCAAATAAATTGCTTATAGTCACTAAAAAAGATACCCACCTTTTCCAGATCCAAACTAAGTTTAAACTTTGTCTCTCCAATCTCCACCACTACAACCGATCAAGTTCAAACCCAAAACCAGAAGCCATTAAATTTTGGGTATGGAAATGGGAGTTCAGCACTGAAACTATTCCCTTTTCCTCTCTAGTGTAGAAAAGAAAATCTAAACCAAGAATTAAACAAAGTCGAATCAAAAAAGTAAACAAAATCCCAAATAAAAAAAAAATTAAGAAAAGAAACTAAAAATAATAAAAATATTATGGCTCAAGATTTGGAGATGGAACACTTACCATAACTTGTAGCTTGAGATTCAACTCTCTTTCTTGATCCCCTTTTCCTTGATGCTTAATCTGGATAGATACCCTCAAACAAATGTAGTCGAATGTAGGAATTGGTGGTGGCGGCGTGAATAATGGTACTGATTTTGCTGTTCAAGGGAGAATGAAGGGAAATGTGAAGGAAGATAGGGTTTAGTGGGAGAAGTCGTGGAACGAGAGAGGGAGAGAGTGAGAGAGTCAAAAAAATGCAGTGAAACGAGAGGGAGAGAGTAGTGGAGATAAGAGACTCCAAAAATGCACAAACTCGCGCAGTATCCTCTCGCGCCATTTCTTTTTTCGTATTTATGCTATACCAATGGATCTATCCCCTCGGTATAGATAACCTTCACTGACGGTTCCTATTCCATCGGTATATGTATACCTATACCACGGTTGTTACCATTGGTATATATCCTACTGCCTAAATGATGAAGGAAATAATATCCGTTGGTATATGGCAGTTTTCTTGTAGTGCCTAGTGCATCTTAAGCTCGATCACTAAATTGGAAATGTCATACATGTCAACATAATCCAGTTAGACTAAGCCTAATGTATCTCAGCTGCTCATTATTATGTTCGGGGTTATTAAACAAGAATTCATACCTGGTCAAATGTGCCACAATTCATTAGTCATATTGTGCCACAATCCAATGGGTTCTGCATCCAAATTCTATGACCTTTACAGCCCTAATAACTTTTCCTAAAGTTGTTAGTTTCCATGGGCATACTTCAGCTATTTTCAAACAAAAAGAACAAGAGAAATTCACTATACCAGAAAGAGGAAATAAAAATTGCCACGTACATTTTCTGTTTGATACGGATTTACAAATTACAATAGTTTGATCAGCTACAACTGCGCCAAATTCGTAAATTTGTCCACACGTATGCGAAAAAAAAACAAAGAACAAAAGAACAGCAGAGGCAAATAAATTTAACATTCCATAAGAACAGAAAAAAAAAATGAATAATTCAAGGAGGACCTCTGTTTCTCATTATGATCTCAGTCATTTTCAATCCAATTAACGTGATATTACGAGCACCAACAAGTTTCGATCTCTTAAACAAACCCGTAATTTCCCGTAATTCCTCATCCGAGCAAAGCTGGACGGCAAGTATACAAACCCCACCTGGCCGAACCGTCCTTTTCATCTCGGAAACGAACCGAGAAGGAAACAAAGACTCCGAAAAGTGAGCGCTGAAACCTACATCGAAGACCCCATCGAAGAAAGGAAGATTATGAGGATCTGCTCTACTCACCAGAGGCAGCGAATCAATGAGTTCAACTCCAGTGACATCGGTTACGCCCATTTCCAATAATGCCTTTACTTCGTGGCCGGCGCCGGCAGAGACGCAGAGGACCCTCGAGTGGATAGTGAGGAACCCCATACTTTGAATTCCATGGAATAGCTCGGTGTAGGAATCGACATTCTTTCGCCAGATTTTGGTGGACCAAAGGCGCCTGTTCTTCTTCTCGAGGGAGATGATCTCGCGGTGGGTGGAGTCGCAGGAGGATCTCGGGAATTTGATCTTTGCGGCCCTTGGGTCTGAGTCTGAGATGCATGTCTCTGGTGTTCGGATGAAGAGGAGGAGGAGCGTGAAGGTAGCAATGGTGACAGCTACGCAGGATAGGCGATTCAACAGAGCTTGTACGTGTCTATCCATTGGGGGGAGAGAGAGGGAGGAAGAGAGGAACTGAGAGGAACAGAGGGATCTGTTTCTTTCTGGGTAGAGTTAGCTGCCAAGTGATTCCTTACGTATCTCATTGTTGAATATGAATATAATTGAGGGGCCCACGAAATCAAGTTATGTTTATGGTCTAAAATGATTTATAATAGTAGCACTGATAAAATCGACGGTTGATAATGATACATAATGTGAACGATGGTTCTACAAACACAGTAATATGTATTTCTTGAAATTCAGTTTTCATTTGCTTTTTTGTGCAATCAAAGAAAATGGTCATTGATCATCCCAAATTTCAATTCTAAATATATTATTATTTCGTTATAATCAATGTTGAATTGGAATTAATATTGTTTCTATGCTTACAATCTAAATTTATCATGTTTGTATTTAATTGAACAATTCTCACATAGCTATTAGATAATATTTCTCCATTCCAAAATAAATCAAGATAAAGTACTTCAACTTCATTTATTTATTTACACATGAAATCACTTGGCAAGTATGAACACCATTGTTTTAAAAGCAAACTTAAATTTTCTAAAAGAGAATCTTGTTGAAATTCTAATGATGTGAATCTAGATAGTTTGATCATTCATTATTTAGATTGTTTGATACAATTGTTACTTCTATTTATAACCTTTTGGTTGGTCGATAGAAATTTTATGAGTATATATATGTACTTTGAATTATCAATACAATATTTGGTATCATTTTTGTTTTTCATAAAAACATCAAAATTTATAAGTTTTTATTATAAATGCAAACACCCAATCCAAATTTATAAGTTTCTTAAAAATTTGTATTGACCAACTAAAGCGTTGCAAGTAGAAATGGTAATGGTACCAAATAAAGACAAGTGTTGATGTATAATTTATCACTAGCATCTTGTTCGAACTTATTTTGTTTGTTACAATCTTAATTTTTCTTCAGCTTGAATGTTGCTTTTTCTTAAAACTATTGTTGTCATAGTGTAGTTCTTAAAAGGTTATCATGGTTAGGTTAACATTAGTCAAAACCATTAACTTAGGCATTTGCAAGCACGAAAGTAACAATTTATATGGGTTTGTTTTCATTTTTGAGCACTTCCTTTCTGCAATAATGTTGTTCCTAGCCTTATTAATTGACATTATAATGTGGAGCCTGAATCCAAACAGAGTGTAATAAGAATGAGACATTATGAACTTTAACGAGCATAAAACAGGCAGTAGAAGCCACTTCAAATGTAGGGTCAAATTTGATTCATTCTTTTTTCCCCTTCTATGTACTTGTCATTCGACTAATGGCCACTTGTTTTTTTTTTTCTTACTAGTTAACTAAAAGGAGAAGATGACAAAGGATTCTCCAAAAAGCACAGAAAAAACCTTGTGAACAATCTATTTTCAATACTCAACATAAGTTAACCTGTAGGAAGTATTGAGCCATACTTAGTAAAATACAATGAGAGATTGTTTAAGCAAACTTGTGTCCTCAATATTTTTCAAGTAATCAACCTTAAACATTTCTAAGGCATTAAGTTTCCTTTGTCGATGCAACGTGATAGAAGGAACTTTATAAATGATCAATTAACTTATTAATTGATGAATTATTCTGTCCCTTAACCATGCTTGACATTATTTTAAAGGGTGATGAAATGTAAATTGGCCTGAGGCAATAGAAGGTTGAACCCATGGTTTTCTAAGAATGTCCAATTGGTTTGGACCCTGTGAGATAGCCAATCCAGACTTGGCCATTCTTACCAAAATAGAAAGACCCAACTAGAATTTAAAATGTTAAGATGGGTTAAAGAATTGTTTCTCCTGCTTGATGCTTGGAATTCTTATCCTTGAGAACTAGGAATGATCTGCATTGGTGCTTAAAACTATGGATCAGGTGGATGTATTATATAGCCAAGCAATTTTGCCCAAAACCTTAGAAGTTGCATATAATATTATAACAACCATGATAATTTGATATAGAGTACAAGCAATACCTAACAATCATAAAAAAATGAAAATGTAAACCTATCAAACTAGACCAAAAGCTCATGAAAAATTAGTCATTTTTTATAACAAGTTAACTTTCACTTCAGAGAAAAAAAGGTTGGGTGGAATATACATGAGGACTCGGGATTTGCTACCCACAAGTTGTACCCACATCCATACCCACAAAACACCACCACCATGTATTGGGAAGATCTCCCCATGAATGATAAGTTAGATATTCCCAATGCACAGTTGTCATGTCTCGTGGGTAGAGATGTGGGAACATCTCGTGGGTAGGAGATCTGAGCTCGTACATGAGGATGTACAGAAGGAGCAAAAAGACAAGAACCCACCCAATAATAACATTGCAAAAGAGTTAGCACTATAAAAAAAAAAAAAAAAAAAAAAAAAAAAAAAAATCTTATCCATCCCTTCTTTAGCTAAGGCATCTGCCAATGGATTCAAATCCCTAGGGATCCATCTGAGAGTATAAACTAAAGAAACTGATAAAACCTGATTTCATACTAGATAAGCAAGTCTCCAAGGACCCTTCTCATTTTTAGAAACCCAACCCAATATCATTTCTAGAATCCCCCCGAGAAACCAAGAGGCTGGCTTGGATGGACTTAGCCACTTTTAAGCCCACCAAGAGAACTTTGATTTCAGCTTTAGTTGAATTTGCCACGCAATAGTCAGGTCATCTAATAGAAGTGCATGGCTGCATGTGGCATGTGCTATTAAAAGAAGTACTTGTTATTTTCATCAATTTACAAACCTTAATTAATTTTTTTCCTTTAACTTCAAGGTTTACGCCTTGAGGCTTATGCCTCTCCTTTTTAGGCCATTATGCCTCAACTACACCTTTAGCCTTTTAAAACCATGCTTTTTATGAAACATTTACTTCTCATTTCTTTAGATACTAATTTTCATATTTATTTTCCTTTTGGCAAACAAAATTACATCACAAGCCGATTAATGTTTCAAATTTTTTGAATAAATGTAGAGAAAATTATCACAGACCGGGGCCAAGGAATTGAATTGTCCTTCTCAATTCCAAAACACTCAAAGCTCAAGCGGGCACATCTTTGGCCCTATTTTTGTTAGGTATATATACTTACAATTTTGTTATTTCTGTTAAAATAATTAGAAAACATAAATTAATTCAATTTTTTTGCAAATTTCATGAAGTGACCCTACTCTATTTGTATTTGTTGAGTCTGAACCTACATGAGTACTTGATGTACAATAAACCGCATAAAGTTAGGAAATATAACTAATTTTTTTAATTGAAATTGAAATTAGCATGAAATGCAACTAACATGTTTTGCATTTTAGGGGTTCTTTACTCGCTCTGTATAGAACAATATATCAAGGGATGGGCCAACCCGTGGAGCCCCATATACGGATCTTCCTCGCCAGCAAACCACATGATAATAATTATATAATTGTACCAGAGCAAATGAGAAAAAGCTTGTAGTTAGTTGTACATCAACATCCTAATTTCCCAACTTGACAAATTTTGTTGCATTGGCTTTGGCTTTGGCTTTGGCTTGTTATATCAAGGGATGGGCCAACCCGTGAAGCCCCATATACGGATCTTCCTCGCCAGCAAACCACATGATAATAATTATATAATTGTACCAGAGCAAATGAGAAATAGCTTGTAGTTAGTTGTACATCAACATCCTAATTTCCCAACTTGACAAATTTTGTTGCATTGGCTTTGGCTTTGGCTTGTTATTTAAAACACTACTGGTTGTGTAGCTTTTTTGACACTTGACACAACATATACTCTTACTCTGGAGTCTGGACCTGATCTTTTTTGCATCCTTATTAATATGGGTAGGGAGTAGTTCACAATAAAATCTCAAGATTCTATTTTGCCTTCAAAGCTCAAAGTAGACATGGAACCCTTACGTGGATTGAATATTATTGTGCCTCATTACTTCGTTCCATCACTCCAGCTCTGAGTAGGGCCAGCCCATTAGACAAATTTGTTGATCTTGAAGTCCATATATACTGTCAGAATGAAGGACCATTACTATTATTGCTATTGTGTTGATTTAATTAGATGATGATTTTGTGGTTTTATTAATCACCTTGTATTTTATTAACTAGCCTGTCCTTTTAGTTTTCAATAGAAGATTCAAACCCTTAATGGTAATCTAAGGTGCTGAAATGACTTCATAAGACGACTTGTAAGTATCAAATTAAGCTTATTAGTGAGGATTCCATTCTGTGTGCAAACTGTCTATGGGCACACCAATTGCTCAATTTATGCCTGATGACTGCTAGTCTGTCTGCCATCTGATTGCTTGATTGCTTCATCTTCATCACAAATTTCTTCAAAGTCTGTAGTCTAATGATACTAAAAGGTTGTTTGTTCGATGTATTGTTCACATTTGCAGCACACAAAAAACATCATTTTTTGTCTATCCTTGGGGGTTTGGAATGAAGAAAGGAAACTTTAGAGGGAGTAAGTTCCTAACTAAGATCAAGTTCAGGGCTATGGAGCCAAGTTTCTAAAGCATATGCAACAAGTAAATTTTGTAGACTAGGGTCATCCCTATTCATATTTACCCAAGAGCCTCCTGAGCAAGGGAATACTCAGGCTCAAGATATGCAAGTTGACCTTGGACCAAGATCATTTCAATTGGGGCCAGTTAGAGTCACAAATATATTGCCCTTTCTAACCTTTAAGGATTGAATAATGCTAAGTGCATCTAGACTCATTATCATTCATCCCAATTCCCAAATCTATATCTAGAAAGAGGACTGTTTTGCTAGGGACATTGTAGAAATGCAACATCTCTCTGCTAAGCACTAAGGTACTAATGTCGCTCTCTACCTCTTACAAATGAACATTGTGTTCCCTCTAGGAAAAGGTACAAAATTTTGTAGGGTTTGTGAAGGGAACATCTTGCTACACTTGGGTCATAAAATAAAAATAAACCATTTTCTATTCATAATCTACCAATACACTTCCATAATCTACCAATATACCTAAATCAGGAAGGAACTATGGATGCAAACTCTCCAGGGAAAAATAATTGAATTCACCTTTTAGCTCCTTTGCTCCCAAT